ATATATATATATATACATAAATATATATATATATTATATATATTATATATTATACTATATATATATATAATATTATATATATATAATATATATATATACTATATATATATATATATAATATATATATATATATTATGCACACACACACACACACACACACACCACACACACACACACACATCCACAACACACACACACACACACACACACACACACACACACACACACACACACACACACACACACACATATATATATATATATATATATTTAATATTATATATATATATATATATATATATATATATATATATATATATATATATATATATATATATATATATATATATATATATTATATATATATATATATATTACACAACACACACACACACACACACACACACACACACACACACACACACACACACACACACAACACACACACACACACACACACACACACACATATATATACGTATGCATCTATGTATGAATGTATGTATATGTTCTTTTACTCGTTCATTTGGTGCCCCGAACGAGCACTCGAGCTCGGAAGTAGTTGCGAAGAAACCTCGCTGGCGTTCTGCTCCGACCCAGAAGCCGCGTCCTGTCCAAAAAGCCTCTTGCGTAATGGTGCAGATAGGTTGATAAGCAGGTGACCCTTCGAAAAAATGTTTGTTATACGATATCTAGATTTTGACCGCATAATTTGAGGAATTCTCTTATCTTATCATCTGTGTGAGAGTATTGATTCAGCCGAGCGCGTTGATCTCTGGCCTGACGTTCCGCTTTCGATCCGGTCCGGGACGACGACACCAACGCGGTCACCGTCTTTATCCGGATTCGCGAGGATAATGAAAGGAGGAAAGGACGCCAGGAGGCTTCCCTGGGGCTGCGTAGAAGCCGCGATCGGAATGAATAGTGCGTTATCAGGCGGCGGTGATAAGGATGATAGTGCCCGGGCTTCGGCTCCGACGCCAGTGAGATAGGGCGAGGACGCGAGTACACGCACACTGCCCCTACCAGCTAGCCTGCCGCCCTGTCTGCTCGCCTGCCGCCCTTGCCCTCTGCCACGGAGGGATGGGCTGAGAGGCGTCGAGGGCGCGCCACGTCAGGAGCCCGGCGAACAATGGTGACTGCCTCTCGCGCTACTCTAAGAAATTACAGCTGGGGATGGTGACGGCGGCTCCGCGGGTGGCGAAGGTGGAGCCGTGAGGGAGGGAGGGAGGGTGCCGTGGGAGCCCCCTGCCCACCCCCTTCTCGCCAGCTGCCTCCGTGTGCGAGTGTGTGCTAACGAGAATAGTTTTAATTGCGCGCCGTCCGAAGTGTTGCAGTGTTGATCACATAGGGGTGTGAAAGGATTATGGAAACTTCTGTGATATTAGAAGATAAGATGTACAGGCAATTTGGGGGACACGTGGCTGACACGGAACGTTTGCTTTGAAAAGGAATGAAAAACATTGACGAAACGTGCAGACACTCCCAAACGAATTTCTAGCAAGAGCAAGAGCAGCGAACACAGCGAGCGGCCGTGAGATGGCCCCGGCGCGAGCCAGCAGCGAGCGAGAGAGAGCATGGCGCAACGCAAAATTACCCGCGGGACGCTCCGCTCCACCTACGAGAAGATCAAGTCGCGGAGCCTGAACGACCTGTCGGAGATCTTCCTGGAGAGGCCCAAGGCGCGGGATGGCGGCGCTGGCGAGCCCCGTCCGGAAAAGGGCGAGTGGGCCAGCCCCGCCAGCTCGCACGAGCAGGCCAAGGAGGGCCGAGAGCAGAGGAAAGAGAGTAAGCGCAAGAAGAAAGACAGGAGAACAAGCGTGGACGAAAGCAGGGCGATGCTTGAGCAGGAGGGTGAAAGGGAGCCGAAGGAAGCGTGCAGGAGGACCGACGCCGCTGACGGCGCGGCCCGCAGCGAGGACCTCGGCTCGCCCACGCAAGACGAGTAGGTGCCCGAAGGGCGCGGCGAAGGGGCTGCGGGAGGAAGAGCCCTTCCACGATGGGGAAGGAGTGTGTGTGTATGTGTACGCGCGCGTGTGCGTGTGTGTACGGTGTGATTGTCTGTCTGTGTATGTGTGTGTTTTTTCATACTGTCTGTCTGTTTCTGTCTATCTGCCTGCCTGTGTATAACTGCATGTTTCGAAGTCATGGCGGAAAACGACACGTATGTCCGTATTTATTTTCATTATTTATCTGTCAGCTTCGTGATTGGGATCGAGCGAGAGGTCGCGCTAATATTTGGTGAGCGAATGAAAGTTGACGAGCGGAAGTGATGTGACTCCGATACATGTTCAGTTCGTCGTTTCTGTGCGTTTCTTTTTTCTATGCGTGTGATTCTTCCGTGTGTTTGTTGTCTACTTCTAGATTTATTGAAATTGCACTGTTATACTTTGCTTCCAAATGTGAAAGGACATGATTCATATACATTTAGCTTGTGTTGTAATGACATGCTTTGAAATACTTTTCAATTGACCTTTTTTCGATAGCATTCTGGAGGTCA